ATTCATTTTTTTTTTTAATTACTTATTTATTTATTTTAGGCCACGCTGGGTCTTCATTGCTGCGTGTGAGCTTTCTCTAGTTGCGTTGAGCAGGGCTACTCTTTGTTGCAGCGCATGGGCTTCTCGTTGCGGTGGCTTCTCTTGTTGTGGAGCACGGGCTCTAGGTGCATGGGCTTCAGTAGTTGTGGCTCACGGGCTCTAGAGAGCAGGCTCAGTAGTTGTGGTGCATGGGCTTAGTTGCTCCACGGCATGTGGGATCTTCCCAGACCAGGACTCGAACCCATGTCCCTTGCATTGGCAGGTGGATTCTTAACCACTGCACCACCAGGGAAGTCCCTCCTTCTTTTTTTTTGGTAGGCTTTTAAAAATTTTTAATAAATTAATTAATTTGGTTGCACCGGGTCTTAGTTGCAGCAGGCAGGCTCCTTAGTTGCAGCACATGGGCTCCTTAGTTGCAGCATGCAAACTCTTAGTTGTGGCATGCATGTGGGATCTCGTTCCCTGACCAGGGATCGAACCCGGGTCCCCTGCATTGGGAGCGTGTAGTCTTAACCATTGTGCCACTAGGGAAGTCCCCATTCATTCTTTCATTTAGCGAATTGTTATTAAGGTCATCTCCTGTGCCAGGAACTCTTCTAGGCATTAGGGATGCAAGGGGTGAACCCAAGGGAACAAGACACTGGAGAGGAGGGAGCAGACAATAAGTAAATAAATAAGTACATGATGTAACAGTTTAAGGTTGGCAGAATCATACATGCATATAATTAAATTATAATTCCAGTGGGAGATGGCTTCTTTGAAGAAAACAAGGCAGGGGAGGGGTAAATGTCACCTCTCCTTTATTCTCTCTCCTAGAAATCTCAATAAAAGGATGTTGGGGTTCTGTTCCTGTCCCCCAGCTCTCATTTCTTTTCTTTTTAAAAATTAGTTTATTTTGGCTGCATTGGGTCTTCGTTGCTGTGTGTGGGCTTTCTCTAGTTGTGGTGAGTGGGGGCTACTCTTCGTTGCGGTGCACAGGCTTCTCATTGCGGTGGCTTCTCTTGTTGTGGAGCATGGGCTCTAGGCGTGAGGGCTTCAGGAGTTGTGGCATGCGGACTCAGTAGTTGTGGCTCACGGGCTCTAGAGCGCAGGCTCAGTAGTTGTGGCACACGGGCTTAGTTGCTCCATGGCATGTGGGATCTTCCCGGACCAGAGCTCGAACCCGTGTCCCCTACATTGGCAGGCAGATTCTTAACCACTGTGCCACCAGGGAAGTCCCTCTCATTTCAATAGAGGTTTTATTTTCTCCTGTGGCTGTCCCATGTGGCAAGTAGGATCTTAGTTCCCCAACCAGGGGTTGAACCTGTGCCCCCTGCGGTGGAAGTGAGGATTCTTAACCCCTGGACCACCAGGGAAGTCCTGAGGGGTTTTTTTTTGTTTTTTTTTAAAGAAGCAGTACATACCTGCCCACCTCTGGTGTGTTTGTTTATTTTAATAGGTTGGAATAGCCCTTTATGTCTCCTGCGAGATGTTACTCTCATTCCTCAATCCAATTCTGTTTTCTCCAGTGGCTCTGTTTTCCCAGGTGCGAAGTTCCTCCCATTCTTGGGGTCATTGCCCTTTTTCGTGGAGTGATTTCTCTCTGACGTTGGCTGGCTCTGGGTCACGGGCTGTTAGACTCAGCTGGCTTTGGGGAGGGCTGGGAGGTGCTGTGTGGAATGCATTCTGGCCTGTTTTCTGCAAACACGGGGCAGGAGAGGACTTTCTGCTGGGGCCACAAACACTATAGCCAAGACTTCTGGGCGTAGGTGCTTCCTGCTTCTCACAGGCAGCTGAAGACACCAGAGCACCCTGACCAAGAGCCTCCGATCAGGGTTCCCTCCTGGGGGTCAGTGAGCCCTGCCTACTGGGGCTGGTACCCAGCTTAGGGGAAGTGGGGGAGTGGAGGGTTTGCAGGAGTCATGGAAGAGTGGCTGGCCTTGTTGGGCTCCTCTCAGTTTCCATCCGCAAAAGTCCATGTTTTCCAATATTGTTAGGGATTTAACAACTATTACATATATATATATATATATATATATATATATATATACACACACACACACACACATATATATATTTATCTATATATATATATATATATATATACACACACACACAGACACACATATATATATGTATCTGTATATATATATATCTATGAATATATGTATCTGTACATATGTACATTTTATACACTTCTTTTTAATTTTATTTTTATTTTTTGGCTATACCTGTGACATGCAGGATCTTAGTTCCCCGACCAGGGATCGAACCTGTGCCTCCTGCAGTGGAAGTGCGGAGTCTTAACCACTGGACTGCCAGGGAAGTCCATACACTTCACTTTTATTTATTTATTTATTTCAATTTTAAAGAAATATTTATTTATTTATGGCTGTGTTGGGTCTTTGATGCTGAGTGCAGGCTCTTCTCTAGTTGCAGTGAGTGGGGGCTACTCTTCATTGTGGTGCGCGGGCTTCTCATTGCGGTGGCTTCTCTTGTTGCGGAGCACGGGCTCTAGGTGCACGGGCTTCAGTAGTTGTGGCACGTGGGCTCAGTAGCTGTGGCTCGCAGGCTCTAGAGCACAGGCTCAGTAGTTGTGGTGCATGGGCTTAGTTGCTCCGCGGCATGTGAGATCTTCCCGGACCAGGGCTCGAACACCGTGTCCCCTGCGTTGGCAGGCAGATTCCTAACCACTGCGCCACCAGGGAAGCCCTGCTTCATTTTTAAAATAAACTTTAACATCTGGTTTAGATTTACAGAAAAACAGTGAAGATAATATTGATGGTTCCATAGCTTCCACACCCAATTCTCTTTATTTTACTATCTTAAAATATAGGGATATATTATAATCTAATATACAAGGAATTAACCAAATATTCATACATTATTATTAACTAAAGCCCATACTTTATTCAGATTCCCTTAGTTTTTACCTACTGCCCATTTTCTGGTCCAGGATCCCACCCAGGACACCACATTACAAATGAATATGTCATTTCTTTCATTTCTAAGCCCAGGGACCTGGTGGGGAGGCTGTTAGCCCATGTGCTCTGAGTGGGTTCATCATCGTGAAGCCGAGTGTCTGTGGTCCAAGCCGACCTCATGGAATTGGGGATTACTTGGGCATGGCAGCTGATTGGAAGTCATGAACTTTTATTCCACTCTCAGGTCTCTCTCCAGTCTGTCCTTTGACTTGTCCCCTCTTTGGACTCAATTTTCTCATCTGTAAAATGAAGACATTGGGCTAGTTTCACCTGGACAGACTGAGTCCTGGGGTCGATCTCTGAGTGCTTTGCTGATCTCCATCCTGGGCAGAGGGAGCTGGCAGTCATGGTGGTGCCCCAGAGGGCAGAGCTGGGACCCAGATCTCACTGGTTGTAACACGGGGCCAACACTCTGACTTTGGGCTTTTAAAGTCAAAGATCAGGGGCCCGTCCCAGCTCTTCTGCTTATTCTGAGGCCCCCTTCATCTCTGAGCCTCGGTTTACCCATCTGTACAGTGGCAGCCGCTGGGATGACTTCTGAGGGTCTCTCTGGCTGTGAATAGAGCAGGTTGCCCTGGGGAGTGCTGAGTTCTCCATTCCTGGAGGTGTGCAAGCCAGGTAGGCGACACTGTTGGGTGGTGCAAGGGGTGGTGGCAACCCTAGGCTCTAAGCGTCTCCCTGTTGGACAGGGAATCCAGCCTCTCTGTTGGCCCATTTTCCTACCCTTGACTCAGGGGCAGGTGGCTGGCTGCCACCAGATGCCCACACCCAGTTGCCTTCCTTCCCATCTCACGTCAGGACTGCCTTTGGCCCTGGCCCACAGACTTGTGGGAGACTGGAAGGAGGCTCACCATTATTACCTGCCCACTTTGTGGTACCTCTGGCTGCCAGGCCAGTCTGCTACCTAGGCAGCTCCTACAGGCTGAGTTCCAGGTACACGAGGTACACCATAAAGCTCCAAAGAAGCAAGAGGAGGCCGGGAGGAATCCCTGAGGAGGTGAAGTGAGGGGCCCTGTGCCCCCACTCCCCACAAACCAGACTCTCCATTCTGACAATTTTTGGATTCTTCCAAGTCCCAGCCTTTGCAGCTTCTGTTCCCTTTACCACCAATGCCCTTGCCCTTCTTTAGCTGTTGAACTCCTACTCATCCTTTGAAGCCTAATACAAAAGACCCCTCTACTGAACCTTAGCTGTCCCTGGACCTACCTGTGTCGTAGCACGTATCATCCTGAGTCATTAATACGCCTCTTCCATGCCTGTGTCCCTGTTGATCGATTTCCCTGAAGGCAGGGGTGGGGCTGACTCACTCCCTCCAACCTGCAGACACCTCATTGTCCTCTGCCTTATTGCATGAAAGGAGTGGGTAGGGGAAGGGAGAATCGCTGTGGCGAACCTTTCCCGAGCCCCTTCTGTTTACCAGCACTGCCGCATCCATTTAATCTCTCTCCTCCAACCCCTGCCCCGTGCCAGGTGGGCGCTTTTACCGGCGGGTCTGTAGGGGCAGGGGTGGCAGGAGCGCGAGTGGCCCTGGGCCGCAGAGAGAACTGGTGCTCAGCCGCGGGGGCGGGGGGCCTCAGTGAAACCGAGGGAACGGGGCGTCGCCACACAACGTGGGGTCCGGGGACTCTGCACGGGTTGCGTCCTAACAGTCTCATTTTCCAACCGAGGTAACTGAGGCTCCGAGAGCCCCGGGGACCCACCTCTGCCCTGACACAAGGCCGCGCCCAGGTCTGGTGGCAGAGGCGCTCCCGGCCCCGCCCCTGAGCCCCCAAAAGCCACAACTACTGAAGCTCTTGGCGTCTAGAGCCCGTGCTCCACAAGAGAAGCCACCGCAGTGAGAAGCCCGCGCACCGCAACGAAGAGTAGCCCCCGCTCG